AATCACTGTAAACTTGCTAACTTCAGAATTTTAGTATGCGTTACAAAGTACTTAAAACACACACTTCACAGCTATAATGACACACCATGGATTACATACAACCTCATAACTGAAGACCAATGACCTAGCAAAATGCTTTCTTCAAGTTTCTATCCACACAACAGTCATTTTCCTACAACCTGATCATGTGTTGCCTCTGTTACTATTAAAGTGGGACGGGTTTTGTGGGCTTTAGCTAAGTTCCCTACAGTTATTTATCTTCACTATTCAGCTACTATTTGAATGCCCTCACTTTTTCCAAGTGAGCCAACTAGGGTATAATATTTTTTAAGAGTGCTCTGTGCTTATGGTCAACCAATTTAGGTACAGTCCTGATTCTGACACTTACTAGCAGTGTAACTGTTGGTAAGTCACTGCACTCGCATCTAAGTTTTCTTTTTGTTAAATAGAATTAATAATATCCAACTTCATTGGTTGCATACATTAAATGAAATCACATTTGTCAAAGGATTTGTAAAACTACTATATCATGCATCTGTATATAGCAGTTTAATTATATGATATTAATTTCCTTAACAAGGAAAAAAATCTAAACCCCCAAAATATGCATGAAAACTATCAGAGTAATTTCCTCAAAACACTAATTTAAACTATCTCATTCTCCTTAAAAATCTTCAATAGCTCTTGCCATCTACTAAAGTACTAATTATTAACACCTATAATGATTAAGGTGATTTGCCTGACTATGCCAGACTTTGTGCTAAATTCGAGAGAGAGAGAGAGAGAGAGAGAGAGAGAATGATTCTTTCCTTACAACAACTGTGTAGAGTAGGTGTCAGTTTCTTCATTTTACAGATGAAAAATTTTTGAGCTGTTTTCAAATTTTGCTATTATAAACAACCTTACAATGAACATTTTTAAAAAGTACATCTTTTTTAGGTGAAATTCTAGGAATGGAATTGTGACGTCTAAGAATAAACATGTTAAATTTTGATAGATACAGGCAAATATCTGACCAAAAAAAAGCCAAAATTAATTTACATTCCCAAGAACAATTCACCTGTACACTTGCCTACACTGAATGTTACAGCTATTTTTAAAATTTTCATTTAATCTAATGGATTAAAAGGTTACATCTCATTATTGTTTTCACACGTTATATTCCTTATCTTGCTAAAAATCTCCAAAAGGAGATAAAAGAATACATTCCTCAAATCTTAACTGCTTGCCACAGTTCCCTCCTATACCTCAATGCCAAGCATTCTGTATAGATCTATATGTATATATACACAGTTCTTTTAAATACATGGATAAGACCCAAATGTGAAACACAAATTATTAAATCTAACATTAAAATTTCTCATAAGGCAAATTACTGTGACTTATAATGCTGTGCTGCACTAAAACACGATATGATAATTTGGGGAAAAAATATTATGTGTATATTCCCTTTAAACCAATATCCCCCTTTTCCAGGAAGAGGTAGTTTTACTTTTCAAAGCTATCTCATAAACTCTAAGCATTTCTTTTCTTAGTCCTAACAGTCTTCACAGCCTCTCATCATTCTTTTTTTTGGGGGGGGGGGGGGGGGGTGCTCAGAATACAAGGAGCCCAGAAGGAAAATACAGAATGAAAAACAATACAGAAATAAAATCTTCTTGCTCAGTCTATTAAAATTACTGAAAGTTGCTATTTATGAGGGTAACTTGTAACTTTGTTTTCTTCCATGAATTATATAGGAAAAACAAACAAGACATGGTTTTATTTAAATCTTGTACAGTAGGAATTATATGTAATCTGATCCCACTTCATGTAAAGTAAGCATAAGTGATAATGCCCTATAAAGGAAATTTGTAAAACTTAGTACGCTTTTACATTTGGCTTACTGTATGCTTTCTAAAACAAACAATAGCATAAATTCAGGGGGAAAAAATCAACACACCATTTTTATTCATAGCTATTAACTAAAAACAATATATCAGATAAAACACAAATAGTTTTTCTATAAATAAAATAAATACTATGCTGATCTTTGAACAGCAATTAAAAACAACACAACCAGACACAAATAGGAACTAAACCTACATATTAGATTAAATTTCAAATTCAAGACATAGTATTACAATAAAGAGAACTCCATAGTGTTAAACTTAAAAAATGTTCCAAATTCTACCAGTCTTCCTGGCCAAAACTTTCCACTAACATGGTAATCTATTACCACTATGTTGGAAATCAGCTTTCTAAGAATATACCCAGGTGGAATAACTATCAAATTTCAATGGCTGGTCAGCCAACATACAAACAATATTTATATGGTGTAACAAAATCAGTAAGCAATTTCATTTCACTGTTCCATTTTTACAGAATTTACCAGCTATAACCAGATATTCCAAAAGGGGCACTTTAAATGGCATATGCCAGTGGGAAGATTCTAATGGTAGAAAAATTATATCCCCAATAAGAACCTTGCCATGATGCACACACAAAAAAAGGAGGGTTAGTTATCACTGGGTGCATATTTTCATAGTGAACAAAAACATACAATAACACTGCCTTCTGGTTACAAAACTGTCCTTCTTATGGTAGGAGGTAAGTTTCCTTGATTATTGTTTTATTATTCTCAATGTAATAATATTTATTTAATCCTTCCAAAACATTACTGAACTTTTGTGGAAATCAATAGGTCAAATAACAAAAGTGAAACAAAGACTGATGAAACAAGTTTCTCATCTCAGGAGATTAAAATACAAAAAAATAAACCAAACAATTTTAACATAACGTGGAAAGTGACAGACCAAGTAAGAACTTGAAAAAAATTAAATGCTCTAGAAGACAGAGGAAAGCGATCACCAGAAGAATATAGAAAACTGTCTCAGTAAAGGTAACACGTGAATTGTGCCTTTAGGATGGACAGTAGTTGGAAAAGTGGGACAAGAAGACAGGTATGCCCACTGGGGAAAAAGAGTGATGAAAGGCATGGAATAGGAAAGAGCCAGTCATTTGGGGGAACAGCAAATAGTCTGGCATATCTGAGGCACAGCACTGATAAAGGAAAATTGAGGAGATAAGATTAGAAAGAAAATTAATGGGAAAGGAAAGTAGTCATATGTTCTATACTATTTTCTCTAACATGATGCTCCTGATGGAAATAATCTTTCTTATCTTTTTTTACAGAGAATTTGAACTCCATAATATTTTCTTCTCTGAATTGAAGTCATTTGTGTAACTTGTCTTATTTTCCACAAGATGATTATGAACTCCTCATGAGCAGGATCCACATCTGATTTATTTTTATATCCTTCTCAAATGCCTTGAACATAAATACAAAGTATACATTTTTAAAAAATGATTAGATAAGTGCATACATGAATCTACTGCCTATGTCATTTAACTTCTGTGGGACTCATATTCCTTTTTACCAGGAGTTTGCAAACTTCTTCTATAAAGGGCCATACAATAAATATTTTAGGTTTCACAGGTTATTCCATCTCTGTTACAGCTATGCAGCTCTACTGTTGTAGACCAAAAGCAGCCCCAGACCACACGTAAACAAATAAGCATGGCTGTGTGCCAATGAAACTTAATTTACAAACATAGGTGGCAGGATCCACTTGGCCCATGATCCATAGTTTAGAGATGCCTCAACTATACAAACTTAAATTTAACATACTACACTAGTATTCTACAAGTATATTTCAATATAAGTATTATATAGAAATCATTTTCTTACATAATGACAGAACCTCAAACAAATTTTCAAACAAAAAGATAAAAAATAGAAAGGTAGCATAAATAAGAAAATGAATATACTACACAAAACCTAGTAAATCTGGACCTTTGGGTAGCTCCACCACATTTGCCTTCTCCAGACACTTGTTACCATTACCATCTAGGTGACCTTTAAGTCAAAACCTCTTTAGGCCCTAGTTTGGTTGGTGATGGTGTTCTTTTTTTTTTTTTTGGTGGGGAGGGCTCCTATTTTATTTTTTAAAATTTTATTTTTAAATTACAATCTACATTCAATATTATTTTGTATTAGTTGCAGGTGTGCAGAACAGTGGTTAGACAATCATATCCTTTACAAAATGTTCTCCCAATATTTCCAGTACTTACCTGGCACCATAAACAGTTATTACAATATTACTGAATACAGTCTTCAGGACTTAACTTTTAAACAATAAATTGATTAAAATAGATAATTCTAATACAGAACTAACCTTAGCCATAAGAATTGTTCCAAATTAAATTTACAGATTTCAAGTGAAAATTTTATCTGGAAAATGATGATTATATTCATAAATAGTTTGAATCCATGGTAGAACAAAAAACAAGTACACCACAGAAACAGAGTAATATATTAGAATAATAAACTAAAATAATTTAATACATAGAATTGCTCTAATAAACTTTTTGAAATATTATTCATAATCATATTTTAACCTCTGAACACTAAGGTTTCAGTGCCATCTTGAATGTAGTTATATACACCTGGAAAATCAGTTTAATAGTAAATATTGGTTAATTCACCTAACCAGGATGGTGACATCAGGAGGGTACTCAGGTCATAATAAAAGTTTTCCCAAAATAGAAAAGGTAGTAAGATATAAATGCCACAATGTGTAATAAAAGGGAAAAATAGAATCTTATTTTTTATTTTATATTTTATTCTCATAGTATAAAAATTAATAAATCACTGGATTCCCTGACATAATTAGTTAAAATTCTGAAGTTTTTAAATATAAAAGTTAAAGTCCACGCAATATATAATAAACTAGGTGTCAATCATTAAGTATAATGGTGATTTAATAACTTCCATTTTTACTCTTCAAATCAAGACAGGTTACAGAATAAAAACTCTTTACTTTTCACAATCTATTTTCAAAGAGCTGTTGGGTCAGTTAAAATTCTCTAATTCACCACTAGCCATATTTACAAAAGCAACACCATTACACTGCTTTCTGAAATATAAATTAACAGCTTCCAGTTCATTGCAAACTTACCAAACATTTGGCAAATTCTTTGTTTTCTGAAAGGAATCCATAACCTGGATGTACCTTAGAAATGAAAAAACAAGGCAGTTTTAATTTTATCATGTTGCAAACCCTTAGTAAGCAAAACAGTGCAATTATGTGTTTAGTGTTCAAGATCCCTTGAATAAGGTTACTTCTCTCACAGAGTGATCAGCTCCAAAACACATTCCTGAGTAGACTCAAATTCCAAGATAATGCCTACTTTATAATCACTTCAAGCACACTACCTTTGTCCTAACCACAATCAGAGCTGTCTACCTACATATCTTCCTGTCCACCTGCATTTGACTACCTATTCAAAACAACTCACCAAAAAAAACAAAAATGAAAAAAAAAAAACTCCCCATTTTCTGAGGCTAACCTTAGCCAGAAGTTTAAGGAATTTTCTAATAGTTGGTGGATCAAAGAATTATGTTAAAGGGAATCTTTTGCAAGACAGATTTTAAACGGTAAAGAACTGTTAACTTCCAAAACCCTAGTTACAAGCCAACTAACACTTTATTCCTGATGACAGTACTCAGCCATTTCCCACAGAGCAGTTTCTGTCAAAACTAACTAAAATTAAAGTTCAGTTTATACTATTTCTTTGTACTCTGAATGATCTTTTCTTCTGATATCCACTCTTCCTTCCTTCCTCACCCCACTTAGCCATTCACAACCTCTTTATGCTATGCTACGCAAGCCACACTGCTACAATCTAAACTCTACCATCCTGTTCTAATTGAGTGATTTTTCCTTCTACCACATGGGCCAAACATAAATTTAGCCACTCTGCTATCAGTCAATATTGAATATATTTCCAGTAAAATAATTTCTACTATAAGGAAAGTCAAATTTCTGAAGAGGCTAGTATCATAATCTAGAAGTAGCTACATATCCAAGGTTTTTAAAAGCTGGATCAACATTTGTAAACATGGTACAGAATAATTTAAACTACTGAAGCATAGGATAAGAGTTTTATTCCACCAATCTTATTTTATATAAGCATTCAACTAAACATTGCATTCTGACAAGCTATAGTTAAGAGTTTTACCTTCATTAACTCTGCTAATAAACTGCAAACATCCACAACATGAGTTCATGAATTCAGCTTCTTATTTAAACATCCATTTCTTTCAAAAGAAATGTGAACACTAACTGAAACACTCCAGGTTAATTGCTGATGTTGGCTGCTATCATTCAATTTTAGTGATAACTCTGCAGTTTTAACATTATATGTAATTAGTTCTGTGATATTAAAACATATACAACAACAACAACAACAACAACAAAACTATTTCTGATGTCAAAAACCAGCCTTTTCCTTGGATTCCACTTCATTCAAACAGAATTGGGGCTGTATGGAGGATTACTGATTTCTCCATGTAAGTTATATGTATCCTACTGATATGACCAAATTAAAATCATTGCCAATTACCTTGTTTATATTTCTAGAAGTATACTACGTATACATAATTTTTAAGTGATTAAAATAGAATTTAAACTGGCGCCTTTTGGATCCTGTTTATAATACAGAATGTTTGTTGATGCTCTTATTATAGTGAAAGGGTTAATGCTCAAAACTAATTGGGATTTTTTTTTTCCTAGCATATTTGGAAATGAACTGAAACTGCTCCCTGGTGTGAAGGCTGAATCCAGCAGCCACCTGCAGGATCAGCGACCAACACTGCCAGATGCCACAAAGCCTTTGATTTCCAGTAGCAAATTTGGTCACATTTAACTCACATGACATGAACTAACTGCAACAGCATTTTCAATCATCCTTTCTTATTTTTTTAAAGATAGAAACCCTAGCTTTCTGCTCACTATATACGAAACAGCTGCAGTAGGCAGATTCATTCGGACTCACAGCTTGGGCTCTGGTTTTCTTAATGGCTTCCATGATGGCATCCATGTTGAGGTAGCTTTTACTGGTGGGAGCTGGGCCAACACAGACAGCCTCATCTGCCATTTTCACATGAACCTGAAGAGACACATCTCTGCATTAACAGACACTCCTGACAAAAAGAACTAAGATCATCTGCAAGTATACACAACATTGCAATGATTATTTCACACACCATTTATGTAGTCAGATTTCTTTGAATATGCACTAAAAAATAACAATGGAACAAATAAGCTCAGGAACTTTATTTAACCATGATTACACTTATTACAAGGCTGATCCACTGTATAACCAAATACCTTCCAAAAATATCCCCCCCCCCGCTAATTTGATTACGTAAAATCACAGCAAACAACTTTAGCCTCTGACTTTGTTCTGAGATATATCTATCTATCTATCTATCTATCTATCTATATATCTTATATCAAAACTACCCTGTTAATGTAGGCAGGGTAGCTCAGTATTTTAATAAAAAGTACTAATGCCCAGTTCTAAGCAAGCTCCCCAAGAAGAGGGAATAATGAGAGGGACTGAATGAAGGGAGGCAGTGAGTGTCCCTGCACAGCATCAGGTCAGCACCAGGCACAAATTAAAGCCCAGGACTATAGAGTTCAATATCACCAGTCATGAACCAGAAAATCTTGAGAATCATTTAAATACTCTCACATTTAATCCTCGTCCATTTTACCTTTATTCCTGAAAGAACTGGTATGTGCATTAGTGTGCTTTAAGTGCTAAATCTACTAAAACCCCAGGAATATTTGCTCCATTTTGAACACTACTCATTCTACAATGTTTTAAATCTATTTTTGTTTAATACAGGCTAGGTGTTTTATACCAAAAAGAGTAAGCTGTTTACTTCTAAAAGAAATCTATTCTTTTAAAATGATGAAGCCATTCATATATTTTTGAAATAGCTTTTCCTAAGAGTTTTTCAGTTTAAGGAACTCCCAATCAGTTTCAATTTATTTCACAAGGCAGCTATAAGCACTGGAGTATATACATATACCTGGACATTTGTGATCTACCCTACACCCTCCACCAAAAGTCTAAGGTTAAATACTTTTGCATATTCCTTCAGCTGTGAAATAATTTTTAAAGAAACACTTTGTTTTAAATGATATCTATAAAAAAGTAAACCAAGAAAGTTGTCTTTTAGAAAACTCAGATTTCTCTTTATCAATTCAATATACATTTTTCAATTAAGTAAAAATGTCATTAAATTCTAAGATATATATCTGAAGAATTTACATATCAATATCTTAATACAAAATACTCAAATATATGTACTCTGCAATTTCTTTAAAAACATCTACTTCAAACAATGGCAGCATGCTTACAAAGGGATTCTAAATATTTCCACATTCAAAGCAAGGCTCACCTTGTGATTGTCTTTGCCTTCTTATTTCCAACTTTATATTGTGCTTCTTCCCTCAGATCAGAATGCCCACTCCTCTATTCCCCTATGCCCAGTTCAGATCCTATTATTAATTGCGATTTTGTTGCTGTAACTGGCTGTGGGGGGGGTTTTCTATAAAAAATTGAATACTAAACAATCCTTTTAAATAAGAACAGATGATACTGTATACAGAGAGCCCTAAAGATCCCCCCAAAACTACAAGTACTGATCAATTAATTTAGTAAAGTTACAGGATACAAAATAAATATCTAGAAATCAGTTGCACTTCTACACACCAATAATAAACTATTAGAAAGAGAAACTAAGAAAACAGTCCCATTTACAATTGCATCAAAAAATAATAAAATACTTTGCAATAAATTTAACCAAGGATGTAAAATACCTGTACTCAGAAAATTATAAGACACTGAAGAAAGAAATTCATGTAGATACAAATAAGTGGAAGCATATACCATGTTCATGGATAGAAAGAATTAACATGATTAAAATGTCCATACTACCCAAAGCAATCTACAGATTCAATGCAATTCCTATCAAGATACCAATGGCATTTTTCACAGAACAAGAACAAATATTTCAAAAATTTCCATGACCACAAAAGACCCACAAATAGCCACAGGAATCTTGAGAAACAAGAACAAAGTTGGAGGAATTGTGCTACCTGATATCAAACTATACTACAAGGCCACAGTATGAATCGAAACACCATATTACTAGCATAAAAAGAGACATATAGATCATTGGAACAGAATAGAGAGCTCAGAAATAAACCCATGCCTTTATGGTCAATTAATAATTGACAAAGGTGGCAAGAACATACAATGGGGTAAACATAGTCTATTCAATAAATGGTGTTGGGAAAATTGGACAGACACATGCAAAAAAATTAAAATAGACCACCTCCTTACACCATACACAAGAATAAACTCAAAATGGATCAAAGACTTAAATATAATACCTGAAACCATAAAACTCCTAGTAGTAAACATAGGCAGTAAAATCTTAGATATTTCTCTGAACAATATTTTTTCTGATATATTTCTTTGGGCAAGGAAAACAAAGGAAAAAATGAACAAATGGAATTAATCAAACTAAAAAGCTTTTGCACATTGTGTGCTACAAGTTTAACTACACAAAATTAAGTCTTCTCCAATCTTACCAATAAATATGGGAACTGAGGGTTATATGGGGGGAAAGGAATTAAAAGATATACACATGCATACATGTGTATATTTACTTGTCCAAAATTTCTATAATAAACATGCATCAAAAAGTAAAAAGGAGGAGAATCCTAATTGTATTTAGACTTATTTACTTTGTCTTTTCTCTAAATGTACTTGTGTAACCATATTCCATGTAAAATTTTGCATCCTTCTGTTTTTTAACATCACAATAGACATTTTTTCCTACGTTATCACAAACTCTGTAATCATACTGAGAATGTAGCTCAAAGCCTAACATATTTTAAGAGATGATTAATATTGGTCAAATAAACATTCAAATAAATGAAACATCAACAGCAGGTCAAGACTGTTTATGGACTTTACTAAGAAAGGCAAAACACATGCTATTTCTAAAGGGTTGGTCGGTTTCCTTTCTTCTGTATCTCAGAAACAAAACTTACTTTAGGGTATAAAAGTATATTAACAGCTCAACAACCCCACAGCCTAGTCCAGGGTTAGTACTAGCAAAAATGTTGGACAAAGCCATTTAAAAATTATTAGTTTCTCCCTCACACATTTAATTTTGTATTTGGAAAATTTTTATTCTTTAAAGAGAAGAATATTACTCATAGCAAGGTCTGTTTTACAACTTTAGGGCCAGAAAAAAAATTATCATCCATATCAATGGCTTAAAAATGAATTTAAATGCTTGAATATAGATAGATTAAAAATTGTGCAGAATTTTTAAACTTTGAATTTGTGGAAAATTTCATATTAGTCCATTAGATGTCTAAAATATGCTGAAAAGATCTGTGCTTGGTTCCTATCCTTATCCAACAGATTGGATCTTAGTGTTAAAAAGTAGGTTAGACCAGATCTGTGTGAAAGCATTTAAATACCTTCTAAACTCGCAGAGTCTGAGAAAGGGAAGATAAGCAACTTTGAAGTTTTTTTTGCGCAGGGAGATTTTCTGAAACCTATCACTTCAACAAGATCTGTAATCACATGGGCATTATTTACCATGACCATGAATATTTGAATTTTCCTTGTGATACCCTTCAATGTAAACAATGGGTAGAATACTGGAAGGACAACATAGTAAGATTAAATGTGCTCCTTGCCTAAGAGCAATGGTGTCTCAATCTGACCAGACTGCAGTATTCACCAAATCTAACCAAGTTCTCTAACATTACCAACTAACAAAAATTACCCTTAAAGACTAAAAAGTTAAAGAAAGGAATGTCAACTGTATCAAAATTACTTTGAAGAACAGGAAAAAATTAATTTTCAAATAACCATATAAAATCCTATTTCTGAAAAGAAAAAAGAAAAGAACCCTTCTCTCTATTTTAAACAAAGTGCCTAGAAGTCTCAAAAGACTTATACAAATGTCAACAGACTAGCATTCTGGCACATTCTTTCTAGATAGGCAATTTGATTCCTGGAAAATTATGATTCTTTTTATGTCAGTAAATAATGCATTTATTTTTATTTCACTTTGTAAAACCAAATGTGTAGGACCACAACATATTTATGCATGATTATTTTTCATGGCAGAATTAGTGACTTTACTATTTTTTCTCTATTATAATTTATGTAATTGTCAAAGTGGTAAAACCAAAAATTAAAAACTACAAGAAAAAAGGAAGTAAGTTTTTGCCAGTTGCAAAACTCCCAACCCATTTTCTACAATCTAGTTTTTATATCACAAAATGGAACCAATCCTGAATCAATTCTAGAACCAAAACAAAGTTTTACCTAGTCTGTATTTGGCAGAAATGCATTTCAGAGGGTACCATAAACAAATGAATGAAAAGCAACATGGCTAGAACCATATTCTCATTCCACTGACCCCTGGTAAAAGCATCAAGGGAAAGATAGAAAGGATGAAAGGGGGAGGAGATATCAAGGATGATGAGAGCAATGGCAACGTCAGTGCTTCAAGAAACAATGACAGGGACAGGAAAAATACAGATAAGGGTATGTGTTGTCAGGAGGCAGTGGGGTGGGGCAGGGGGGTTTGATAAGGTCAGTTGTAAAGGTTGGGAGAGGTAATGATAGCTGAGAAAGGGTTTAAGAGCTTTTTTAGCCCAGGAAACCCTTGAACAAATGCTTTTGGCAGAGAATCTAGGGACTGGAAGAAGCTAAAAACACCTGCGAGGTGACATAATTCACAGTATAAGGTCTCTGATGAGCAGTAGCAAAGCTAAGTATGGGAAGACTAAGTATGGGAAGGCAGGAGATGGGGCAGGGTAAAGAGAGCGAGCTAATTTTCTCCCACACAAACACAATAAATACAAACAAGCCAGGATTTAAAAAGGAAAAAAAAAGAGAGAGAGAGAAAGAAGGACAAGACAGAAAGAAGAAAAAAAGAAAAGAAAAGCAGGAAAAACAGAAATCAGACAGAAAAAGCTTGCTATGTAGTCCAAGACAAACCTCTAGCACCTCTATTCCCCAACACTGTGTTGCCTGGAAGCTCTTCTCTATAGAAATTC